AAACTGCTGTTTGGAATTGATAACTTGTCGCCTGACGATAATGACATTATCTTTGGGCATGTTCAAAAATATATAAAGAATACGAATCGTTTTAGAACTTAATATATCTTAATGATAATTAAATATAACTCCGTGTTTCTATTTTTAATGCTGGTCCAGTAACGGAAATGGAGGCGAAACCTGTATTTTTTTTTTTTTTTTTTTCTTCAGAGGAAAGGTGAACAGAAGTTTGGATGTTTTTAGAATGTGTATTTTTTTTTTCTATTTCATGATATTTAAACCTCATATCAATTTTTTTTTTGTTGTTGTTTTTTTTTCTCATAATATTGTCATCTAAATACTTTTAAATCAATATAGATATATATAGAAGCAAACTGTAAATATTGCTCTGATGATGCGCAAAAAACATTTATTTTCTTGTTTCTTCGCCTAACACATTAATTACGTAAACAAGTTTTGTATCTTTCTAATTAATGAACATTTTGTTATTTAAACTTGCCTGGGAAGGGCCTTCATTAATGTTGGTAAAACTTGTGGCCCAACCCATTTGCTTCAAACTGTTAACATACATGTTTCCTTATTCGTATTTATTGTATTCTGTTTTGTATTAATGTAATCTCTATGTTACATGTACATGTTTCAAGCAATAAAATATGATTAAATCAGAAATGAACCGGACGGACTAGAAAGTCGTTATATCTCGTGATCAACTGTTATTTGGTGAAGCGTTTTGCATATAGTAAACAGTAATAAGTTACAAACTAAATGACACATTCGATGGAATGAAAATTCGATGATTTTACTTTGTTTTGTGCAAATTACCATCTGTTTTCTTGTCGTATGCAGGCTTGACAACCATTTTGTATGACAGAAAAATACGGTGTATCGGTTAGAAGTAAGATAGGTTGACGTTGTGCGGAAAAGTTGTGGTAAACGCCTTATTACCGTGACTTAATAAAAATATAGGATATTTTTTGCCAATGTACACAACTTTTAAACAGCGTTTTAAACACAGGTTATATTCCCTCAATATGACTATGGGACTATGGGAACATCGTTCCGGATATTAAAATAAAGGAACATGTTATTAGAGGCCCATCACCTTACTCAGTTGTCTTGGGAAACCGTTAACCCCAATACTAAACTGCAATTAACTAAATATTTAGCGTCTTATAAAATTGTTAATGCAATCAAGCTGGTTTTTGAAAAGTATTTTTTGTGATGGTCATATATTTCCGTTCTTTTAATAATCAACATCTTAAAACATAAGAAGAAAAAGATTTACAGGTCATTCAAAAAACATGTATGTATATTAATATAAAATCTTGTGTTTCCCGTAATAGTCATTTGTCCCTTTTCTTCGCATGCATGAACGGAGTCAGTCAACGTGAGAATCTGTCGCCTCTGTTGTTCGCTCCTTAACTTAACGATTTACAGACCAATATTGACGCTTCAGGTGGCACCGGCGTAAAACTTGAAGACGATGTAAATGAATCTGATTAGCTAAACCTTTTAGTCTTTCTGTATGCTGATGACACAATTATCCTTTTAGATGAGCAGACGGATTTCCAAACATGCCTCAATGCTTTTAATTCATATTGTAAAGAATGAAATCTTACAGTGAAATTGAACCAAACAAAAGTTATTATGTTTGATAGTCGGTCTGTTTGTAACTACGAATTCAAACTTGGTGATAACATTCTTGATTTTTCTGATACATATCATTATAAAGGCAATATTTTTACTTTTCTCTAAAATTAGAAATGCTGACTTTCCCATAGATTATAATGAAATATATAAAATTATTTGACCACTCTGTTTTACCGCTTCTATCATATGGCTCAGAAATGTTTGGCTTCGTAAACTTAGACATGATAGAATCAGTTCATAACTTTTGTTTGCGCAAATTATAAAAAAGCCCGTAGAGGTACACCTTTTTTATATAGTACACGGTAAATGGGGAAGGTATCCTATCTCATTTGGAGTTTAAAGCAGGATGATAGGATTTTGGACCTTCTTACTATCTGGTGACCATAACAAGTTTTCGTTTAAACCATATACATATATGTTTAATCGTCAAACCGCAAATTTCAAATGGACCTCACTTTAAAGACTTCTTGATTCAGCTTGCCGTTCATACCTATGGTTATGATATCAATATACAATACAATACGCGTGCGCTAGTAAAACTGACGCTAATAGATCAATACAAACCTCGATGATACGGGAATTTGCAATTTTCTGATAAAGGCAACATTTATATTTCATTTAATTCCACATTAAAATTAGAATCATATACTAAACTACTGCCGTATAATGACGTATTAAATTTGTTCAAATTTCGGTCTGCTAATAATAATTTCCTGTTGGAACCGGCAGGTGAGACGGAACATTTTTCAATGACAGAAAGTGCACGCTTTGTGACCTAGATGACTAAGGCACCAAAAAACATAATTTAACTGATACAGAGATGTTTTAAAAGTTTGATGAATATGAACTCACCAGAAAAATTGTAGCACTTTAAATTTTTTGTAAAACGCAAATGGCTCAATCTAAATAATCATTTGTATATAAATGCCATTTAGTAAGGTTTATATACCTTTGATTAGGATATTATTATGGTCTCCCCTGATGTAATACTTATACAACTTTGTCAAACTTTAATCATTTTTTTTCTCAGACTGTACTTACGTACCTGAGAGAATAAAGAGTATGTTCTGTTCTCTTAGATGAATAGTAATATGACTATAACTTAAAATCATTACATTAAATCTGAGAAAATGTATTTTAATTATTAAACAATATAATAAATTATATATGCACATTCATACATAATAATATTATCATTTACATTTTTTTGTCATTTTTAAATAATCATTTACATTTGAAATGACCTATACTGTGTCGATGTGACGTAAAACCCAAAAACAAACAAATACATTTGTATTTGTATTTTTACATAAAAAATAGGGTCAAATTTGCCATTTGGTGACAGATATTATGTGTTGCACCAGTACAGTAAAGGTCTTATGGCGACTTTCCAGCTTCATTTGTTGAGGAAACCCATTAGTGCCCATCCGAGCAAAATGGCTGGCACAAAAAGGAACCTAAGTAGACGTTTAGTAAGCTGGCTTCCTCGCATGAAAGAATCCAAAGAATCCAGCAGTATTCAAACTTACAGTGGTAACAGGCAAGTGGATTGAAATCAACGGCCTTAACCAGTCGGCATCGGACGCCCCTATGACTGAAAAATACCTGATATCTATACAGTTATCTGTCGCTCACATTCAATCAGCAAACCACATTTTCGACTGATAAATGTCATCGTTGCACGCTATGTGGTTTTTACATAGATCATACAAAAAATGGGCCAAAGACAGAAAAGGCCGGGTTGCATTTGTATACCAAATATCATGAGGCTCTGATGTTACAAAAATGTTTACCATTGACCATTAATGTTGAAAATTTTACTATGTTGGCAAACAGGAAGTGGATTTGCAACAGACCTTAAATCAAATCCCACTATACGGGACCACTAATTAATGCTGTATGCTAAATATCCCGAGACTGTGATCAGTAGTTGCTGAGAAAACTGTTACGAAAATTTCTTTTCATTTACCATTAATGTCAAAATTTTTACTTAGTCGGTAAACAGGAAATGGATGAGCGACAGACCTGAAATCAAATCCAACTATATGGGACCACTAGTTTATGCTGTATGCCAAACTTCACGAGGCTGTAATAAGTAGTTGCTGAGAAAACTGTTACGAACATTTTCTACCATTGACCATAAATGTTGAAAACCAAGTCCATTAACAGGAAGTGGATGAGCGACAGACCTAAAATCAAATCCCACAGTATGGGACCACGTGTAAATGCTGTATGCTAAATATCAAGAGGCTGTGATAAGTAGTTGCTGAGAAAAATGTTACGAAATATTTTCCCCGCCGCCCAACATTCAACATACTATAACCCGGGTTTGCACATGTCATGTACATTTGATGTGGATCAGGGGCTAATACATGGCAATATACCAAATATTTTGCGTATTTAAGTAACTTAAAAGTACATTAAAGTCTCATACTAAAAATGTTTAGTTTACAAGAAAAACAAAGGATATGAAAAATAAACAAAAAATCATATATTTAACAAAATCATCTTGATTAAATATGTTTTGGAAGCGTTCCTTATTCATGTATATAAAGCTTGTAGATTTACACATACATGTATAGAAATCAAGTATAAATCTGAAAACCTTACACACACTAATTAGCTTTTTGGTTTTTCAGTTTAGTTTAAACAAGCCCTGTCCCCGGACAGCGCGCTCAACTTTCCTTAGTGCTTGATGGTAAAAATAAAGCAACATAGAAAAGGGGACATAACTCTGTAAACATGCTTATCAGAGACTTGCCTGCCCTTGAAAGTATAAACAAATATTTCAAGTTTGAAGTGAATGCCTTAAACGTTTTTTTTTTCAGAAAAAATCAAATGTTCTAAATCAAACAAGTGAAATTATAAAGCAAAAAGGGCTTAAACGATTATCTCCCCAACAATTGCATTTCAAATTGATAGTTGACATGTACTTCAAGTTTTCATTAAATATATTTGATTGAACCTTAACAAGAAATTAAAAGTCAAAAGGGGCATAACACAAAAGAAATAAATTAAAATGTTACCTGCCCTTTAGAAATGAATTCCAATTTAAAAAAAGAAAAAACAATATTTAAAGTTTGAAGTAATTAAATCTTACAATTTTTGAGAAATTGGCCTTAAATAATACATTCAGTGAAAGAATGGGCAAAAATGAATTTAAAGATTAACGCCCCTATGACATGGTGTCATATTTTGAAAGTGAACATGTATATCAAGACTGTAGTGATTTACTTTGAAGTTACTCCGAAAATTAAACTTCGAGTTCCATTTCATTCTTAAGTGTCAAGTTTATCAAGAAATTAGAGAGAAATATGTTCTTAGAAAATATATCGTAAAACTTTCACACAAGAAATTTAACATTTTAATGACTAAACAATATGAGTATGTATAAAACACTCTAACATTTTACATTTGGTACGCATTCAAATAACGAATAAGGAAATGTACACAAGTACACTGTGAATATTTGACTTGAATGATAAATATATACATGTACTTTACAATGATAATGCAAAAATCATTCATGCCCTATCTAACTGTCAAGATTGTCAAGACGATTAATGTTAATGCTACTTGTAATTCCGATTTCCTCTCTCATAAGCATTTTGTTCACACGTATATTATATATAATTATGGACCGCTGGCCTCTAACAAATGAAACATCAAAACTTCAAAAGTCATGCCAAAAAGGTTAATCAGGGCTCAAAATCTTAATTGAAATGGGGGTATAACCTTTAAAATAGTACCCTTTCATGACAATAAACATGTCCACTAAGTTTTAGGTGAATAGAAGCACCATTTTATCTTTTATAGTTTCTGAGAAAATAGAACTTAAAAATATAAGTAAAACCAACGGTCACGCCAACGCCAATGAGAGGGTCATTACAATGTGTCCACATTTTATCTCCGAACAGTGGAGTTAACGTATTTATTTCACCTTGATTGTGAAACTGACAGCGTCATGTTATAAAACGTCCTGAAGGTCTTCGGCCTTTATAAAAAACATGAGAAAAATATTAACAAGTCAATGAGTCATTGAAATACACAACAATAAATAAAGGGCTTGATTGTGAGATGAGTTGTTGTTCAGACAGACGGACAGATTGAGAGCGTCATGCTATAAAAAATTACTAAGTCAGTGAGTCACTAAAAACATAGCAACCTATAAACGGCTAAAAATAAACAACATGAACAGAAATCATATCTTCCCATAACTAAATTGCTATGTGTCAAAGAAAATATATTTCTTCATTATTTAAACCACCGCTTGAATGACATCATGCAAACAAATGTCATTTCTTTTACACGTTAGTTTCCTTTGGTAACCTTTTTTTCCAGAGTATTCCCATCATGGACTTTTCTTTCTTCGGCTTAAAGTACACATCGTTTGTCAATCTGTGGACAATGCAGGCTGTCATCTTGAATGGTAAAATTGTTTTTAAAATCTCAGTCATTTGTTGCTCAGTCAGCTGATTATTTATCACCCAACCAAGATAAGGTTCCACCACTGAAGGATCGCCTTTCAACTGGCTCCTGTGCTGCTCGCCAATGATTTTAACGAGCTTTTCATGATTCTCTTCGCTGCTCAAATATTTAATTGTCCGATATAAATAGTTTTTAAATGTCAAAAGCGGATCAAATGATTGACCAGTCCGCCTTGCTGCCTCTTGTTTTCTTAGATTAGTTATTAATATTTGATTAAGATCTGGGTTGTATTCATACCTCGCCATCTCATGGGAAACATGTGTAAGGTACTGTAAAAGGTTACATCCATTTAAAACTTCACTCAACTTCTCATTTAAAAATTTGATGAGGTAGGATCCGGTATTCGAGTTCCGAAATGCAAATTTTCCTTAAAGAAAAGAAATAGTAAAAAATGAAATAAAAACAAACTATTGTAATGAAAAGAATTATTTTATGTTGAAAAAATCCAACTTGCCGTTCTAGGTTAACCTCGTACGGACAGACAGACAGACGGACGGACGGACGGACGGACGGACAGACGGTTCAATTACTATATGCCCAGGGGCATAAAAACATAAGATTATGATCAAGCATAAATAAATTATATGAACACATAAAATAATTGAGTGTCGTTCGACCCCTTTTTCTTCTGTTTATTTTATTATTTTTCGGTATACGGTCAGTAACGGTTTTACCTTTTACATATCCAATTCGGTTTTATTTTAATTAATGGCGTAGGACGAGTCCTTGCCAACTTTCTGACGAAATGTTATGGCATTTTCAATAAAATTTTCATCAACAAATCACAGGCATTCGGTGCGTGGCTTTGATAGTATACATGTACATGACCGCGCCCACTTTTTTATTTTTTTTTTTTTCACTTATAAAATATATTTTCACTCAAAATGTTTTTAAAACATCTTATTTTCAATAAAACAACAAAGAAACGTTTTTGTTTTTTTATTCATCCATATATACTACAAATACAGTAAAGGTAGAACGGTTCGCCAGCGGGTTCGCCAGCGGACCTACCAGCAGGCCTTATTTTACCTCCCATATCTGTGTTAATTGTCAACCAATTTTCACCAAATAAAGTGCAATCTACGCAGAAATGATTTCTCTTTCGAGAAATGTACAATATAAGACCACTTGGTACGACAAAAGATGGAATTTTAAAGCGAAAACGCACTTTTTGTCTAGGTCGGACATCGCTTGACCGAGCCGAAAGAAGACGATTTTGAACACAAATCGATCTTCTTAATAACACACTAATGTCAGTGCATGCAAACAGTTGAAACAGAAAAGGCAGCTATAATACTATCGCTTAATCGTCCAAATTAAATCCAAAACGTCCGTAAGTAGGCACTTTCAGTAGTTATTTGCACTAACTTTTTAAATTTCCCGACATGTACATGTTTACAAATCTAAACCCGAAAATTCACGCTGTTACCCAGCTTCGCTCAATCTTTACTATGCGAAACACGGTACGCATCAGGTATATAAAGGACGTTTATGGGAGTTTTCATATAGACATATAGGCAAAATTAAAACTGTTCAATAGAATTTATTTAAACTTGGCATGTTGTTAGAACATGATAACAGAAACATTTTAAGCGAAAAAAAATTGGGGTCACCGTACTCATTTTCGAGTTATCTGCCCTCGAATTCGAGTTTTTCGTTAAATTCAAGGGCAGATAATTTACAATGAAGGGAAACAATACAATTTTTTTCTTATTTTTATGAAGCTTTCCTTCCTTTTAGTCAATATGCAAATTTTCAAGAACAAATTTAGAGTGGGTAGTTTTTTTTACACATTTTCTTTTTACCTGTCTTATCAAATTCTTACCCATATAACTGCAAATCGGCTCTTACAACTTGATATCAGATAAAAATATAGAAAGTGTCACCTCTTTAATCAAGCATAAAATTTTTTCCCCAGTAGTCATGTACAAACAAGGATTGGGTCCAATTACTTAATCTGGCAAGTAAAACAATGAGTTTTCAACAATATCTAGGATTGTTAATGCAATTCATTCCTTTCATATGAAACAAAATAATGTTTTGCTTACTTTTTCTAGAAAATATAAACAGTCAGCAATTAATAATTGACATTTTTCTTAGAGTTAAAAGGATATCGAAAAGTTACTTTGTACTCATTTGTCTCTACGAGCTAGGCTCCACGTGTATTAACTATGTAATAAATTGAATGTATCCTCACATAGCTACAGTGTTATAAGCCTTTTAAGAAACACCCGACCTGGCTAATTTAAATATGCCAATCACAATTTCCACTATCAGCACTGGTTTCTTCATGAAAAAAGCGGTTACACTTATTACTGCCGAGTAAGAGCCGATTTGCAGTTATTGTACTTTGCTGTTTTCTAAAACCCAGAGAAATACACTTCTGTTCTTAACTTCTACAACTTTATTTTACATGAATGCACTTGAAAATATAATAACTTGCGTTTGCTGAATAAAATAAAAAACTGTTTTCAAAATTATCTTTAAGAATGAAATTTTAGCAAACAAAACAGTCAGAAAAATGCATGAACTAGAAATTTTCACCTGACATCACTGGATACATTATCAGAAAATCATCCGGACAGTTAAGAGGTACAATATCGAATGGCGACGGCGGCAACTGTCCACTATCTCCACTACCTCCGGTGTCAATTTCTGTGACTTCCCCTTCCGCATCTTGATCAGTTGCTTGGTCAGAACTTCTAGAGATTGCTCCCAGTTGTAATGCGCCCGGATCTAAACGGAACAATATAGAAACGCAAAACTCATATATAGGTCAGCAGTGTATTTTTGTAAATGTTATCAATATCAGTTTTCATGCTGGTACAAATTGTATTTGCAAGTTTTGTCCAAATAAAACAAACAATCATTCTGTATACACTTTATAAAGCTATGTTTTCCTATTTTAATCTATATTCTTCTATAGGTTATTTTCAACTATCATTTTTCCTAAACCTACAATTTACGTTTATAATGACATACCCTTTAAGCAATGTTATTTAAATTAATTGAATTATTTCCCAACCACATGTCCATGCATATCAATTGGCGCAGGCATGAGAAAAAACAAAAGATTTGTTCAAAGATAATGCCGATTTTTTAAATCTCACTGGTTGAAACGAAAGAAAAATAGTAAGAAAATATGCTGAAATATCATAAAATATAGCAATTTAAAAAATATATATTTGTCATTCTCAAGAATGTAAAATAAAGTTGTAGAAGTTAAGAACAGAAGTGTATTTCTCTGGGTTTTAGAAAACAGCAAAGTACAATAACTGCAAATCGGCGCTTACTCGGCAGTAATAAGTGTTACCGCTTTTTTCATGAAGAAACCAGTGCTGATAGTGGAAATTGTGATAAGCATATTTTAATTAGCCAGGTCGGGTGTTTCTAAAAAGGCTGATAACACTGTAGCATTGTGAGGATACATTCAATTTATTACATAGTTAATACACGTGGAGCCTAGCTCGCAGAGACAAATGAGTACAAAGTAACTTTTTGATATCCTTTTAACTCTAAGACAAATGTCAATTATTAATTGCTGACTGTTTATATTTTCTAGAAAAAGTAAGCAAAACAATATTTTGTTTCATATGACAGGAATGAATTGCATTAACAATCCTAGATATTGTTGAAGACTCATTGTTTTACTTGCCAGATTAAGTAATTGGACCCCATCCTTGTTTGTACGTGACTACTGGGGAAAAACAATGTTATGCTTAATAAAAGAGGTGACACTTTCTATATTTTTATCTGATATCAAGTTGTAAGAGCCGATTTGCAGTTATATGGGTAAGAGTTTGATAAGACTCCCTACGGTCGTCTTAATACAAACTCTTACCCATACATAATTCCGTCATAAATATCTAAATCTCACAACATCGTCAATATGCGCCAGAAGATTTAATGACAAAACTTCTGAATGGTGAAAACATCTAAATGGTGAAATCGCTTGTGAAGTGTATGACAAATTGCGCACTGAAGTGTAATTCTCTATCATAAACGAAAGGTCATAATTCTGCCAAAATAGGAAAATTTTATGCCCGCCTGCCGGAATACACCAATCTACTTACGTGTACCAAATTTGGAAAACCTGTTTTAATATGGTATTAGTATACTGGTACTGATGTTTACTTACCGCGTCACGTGCTTCACTCTAAATTTCAAAGTCGGTGTTACTTTTGCACAATTCCTGCATTATTTTCACATTCCTGCATTACGAGACATACATGTTGCTATCAATGACTTGGTTTTCATTAAACATTTTGTCAATCACATACCAGATAAAGGCTAGGTATTGTTACTTACCTTTTTCCCAATCTTTGTACATATCTTCAGCATCGGTTAAATCAATAGCGTACAGATTGTTTGCCAAGTCTCTCGGATCTGTTCTAAACGTGTTTGGATCTCTCACGTACAGATTGCTTGTCCCTTGAACGACATTGACCTCAACGCCTGTATCGTAGGTGTCAGCACTACCAATTTCTCCCCTTGATTTGCATGCCTTTAGAATGGAGTTAAAATAAACAACATATTTCTAAGCAAAAAGGTAACAAAATGTTATCTTCATCTAGAAAGCAATTGAATTATGAGTTGTGTACCAGAATACATTCACACTATTGTTAAAATTGATTATCTTACATGTTTAACTCTTTACTTATGTGACAACTAATGAAATCGCGTAAAATTTGGAAATTTTGTCACTCATGAATCATCATAACAATTGGTCACCAAATAGTGACAATGCCTATGTCATTTTACTATTTCAAAGAATTATTTACACAACGTAAATTGATTAAAAAAGACCAACTGTCTATTATGGTTGAGGTGTTGGGTCTCACCTTTGGATGACCTTTGCTCACAGGTTTGACTGTATGGTTAATCAAGGCAATCAAAACTTGACTTTGTATAATGTATATACCTGTATGAAAAACAGCTTTGGTTTTCCTTTTAATCCTACTGAATTTTCATCATTGAATATATCAATTATCTCATCGACATAAATAGGAACATTATCCTCCGCTAAAACTTGGTGCCGCCAAACAGTCGCTTCTTTTGATTGTTTTCGGTCTATTTCCTTTGCTTCGTGCCCGTGTGTACTCAATACAAGTACAAAACAGTCACAATCGTTGTTATATTTGGACTTGCTGGCTGGAATAAAGATAAACCAATAAGTCACGTCATTGAATATAGTATGATAGAAAAATACTGGATATAAGGTACTTTTTCTGGTAACCTAAACCCACAAATTAGGGGGGAGGGGTAAGGAATATATATGGAAAAAAAATTGCAGCTTTTACTTACAATGTAAGTATTTATTATGTTTCAAGACATATATTCTGATAGCAAAATAACAATAAACTGTTCACATAATGTATTGATTTCAGCCAATTGACTAAAACCTCATCCAAGATTTCTGAAACTTAGAAAAACACACATAAAAATAGATATAAAATAAGAATTATTATTTTTTTTTAAATATTTGGATTGGGGCAAGCAAATTACTTCTATAACTTTTAATACTCTTCCATAGCAATCAAAATATGGAAATTTCATGACCTCTTTCCACATTACTTTTTTGACAAAAATGTGTTTTACAAAATGATATAAAAATTTCCCGAAACAAAAATGTACAACAAAACTGTTACCTGTCTTTCTTATCTCTTGGAAAACAGAAGATTTTGTAAAATATGATTATTTATGTGTTTTTTCTAAACAGAGGCTATCTTAATAAATATACAGTCATTTAAATGAAATCTTCAAATATTGTTTTTTAATATTTGTCATGTTCACATTCTCAAAAATTTCATTGCTAAACTTCCAAAATCTTACAGGAAAATTATTGAAATTTATTACAAGAATAACTATTTCATCACAAGAAACTACTTGAAGTCATTGCATCCTGTCAGTAAAATATTGAAATAATATTTAAATAATTTTACTTCCAAAATATCAGAACATAATAACACAAAAGCTATAGAGGATATTGAAGGAGTGTTCAATGTTCAATACTGAATTTAGTACTGGCGAGCAAATTATTATTACATTCAACGAATTGAATCAATGCAGTAACGAATCTACATAAATATAATATTCTAAGTATCACATGCACAAAGTAAAGACTGTTTAAAATAAAAAATAATAATTCTCCATTGATGCGCCTTTATTGTAACTCTAACATTTATGGCGTATTTATGTTTGTATAACGGAAATGATCAGATCAGATCTAAATATATGCACAGTCGTACAATACCATTTTTATGAAGTCACAACATTGGCACTAGTATATTATAAATTTGCATACATCACATTCTCAAAATCTTGATACTGTTATAGATTTACTTTTAACACGAATATTTTCAACATGAACATTATGATGTCGTGATTTGATGACATCAGGAAGTTCCCGATCCAGTTCTGGCTGCTCATAACGGACGAAACTTCCATTTCACAATAAATTTAAATGACCTCATCATGTAAAAAGCAATAAAATAACTAAACAGTCACAGAGTCACAGAATAAACATAAATATTGTTTACTTCACATGTTAGATAAAATTATACTAGTATCAACGGGTGTGTGTATTCTACTCATTAGCATTAGCTTTTATACTAAAACACATGGCTATGCCACTCATAAAAATGTTGCATCTGACGTTAACTTTATGAAATACATTTTGATCTTACATGCAAATCCAAGATCATCCCTTGTATTATTTATTTTATTATCTAAAGATTCATGTACATTTAAGTTATTAACATGTTCACTATGTACAGTCATATAACCATCATCTGTGACTTTTATGCCAGTTTTTCGTTGAGGTTCTACTGCTATTAGCATGGGCATCCCGGGTGCCATTTATAAGTTACTGTGTTTTAAATTTTTGTGTGCTCGGTATAATAAAATACTGCTTAGGATGATAGATCACATACTGCTAAGGATAACAGAATAAAATGTTCAAATATGTCAAAATAATGTAACGTGCACGGGCTACATGTAGCTGTTATATATATAATTTTTCTTATGGCTACTTGCCACTTGATTAGTTACAAATGATTAAAACAATGATTTGTTCAAACTTTGGAATCAAGTTCAATAAAAGATCGTTTATAACAGTAACGTGCCTCTATAGTTAATATGCTTCACTTGAACCTTATATAAAATTGGGGTGACACATTTTAGGCTGTTCAATATATATAATAACCAGTTGGATATCGAGTTTTCAATACTTTAGTATTAACAATTACACCTAACGCAATGTTAAATTGATGCAATTGATATACTTCGTAAAAAGTGCAAGATTCCTAGTGATTAATCTTAAATATTAATTAATTATTTCTGTGATGTTGACACTTCGGCTGCTGGGCAGAGACTGACTGTCCGTAGTTCTGGCTTCCAAAACTTTATAAGCCGCTTTTTAACATTTTTGTTTTTCATCAGATGCGGCATTAAAGTTTTGGATTAGACCCGTTACGAAACCTAACCAGAATAACCTAAGTTGATTTATTCTTGTTTTTCACTTGCAAATACACTTGACCCGATCAATTGTGCATTTTACGGTAAAACAATTATTTAAATATCGTTCTATACCAATTCAAGTAATAAAATATTAATACCGTCATTAAAATTGCCTATTTAACTGTAAAACATCAATTTTCGCCGACTACAGTCGGCCATGACATTCAAGTGTCACGCGAGATCTCGTATGACGTCATTCGCGGGAACAGATTTGAATAGAGTTGTGTACTATATTTAGAACATTTTGTTGACATGATTTCGATATTTTTATTCAAGATAATGTTTTTTTTTATTTTCATAAATTTTTTAGTATTTAAATATGATTTTATTGAATATAACAGTCAGTAAATAACCTTTTTCAACATCTTAAAAAAAAGTAATCTATAAAAATATTGGAGGCACATGGGTTCATAAAGGTCAATCTCGTAATCACGTGGTCAAACATTTTGGCAATATGGCGGCCAAGTGCCGAAATTTTTACCTATCGGAAACTATTAGGTAGTTTATGTTCCTAATAAGATTTTTATTTGTCCATCCTTGGCTTATCAACAGATTATATATCGTTTTATCAAGGTATGCTTCACTTTACTTCGTGGCATGTTCGATAAATAAATACGAGCGTGTCAGATTCCTGGCACGATTATTGGTGGACTTTCCCTACGGGGTTATCTTCAGCGTTCACGTCATGTCATATATATAAACGGGTACGCTGAAGACCTTAAGCTAGACTGTCCGCAGCTTTGAACTCTATTTATACCCAATAATGTAGTTATATTTAATGATCGTTTACTTTAGTTGAAGAAATCAAACATCCAAGAAATATTGATATTGGGCCGAATATTGGTACGAATGACATTGAGTTCGAATGATTTTCAGGACGAATTGTTCTGATATTTTTGAAATAATAAAAATATGCCCGTTATATCAAATAATTGCTAGCCTACGAATAAGTTGTTAAATCTAATCATTTCAATTATATGTATTTTTTACTTATATTTAAAAGATCAAACTCTACTTTTAAACCCAAGATAACATATTTGTTTATAATTTAATTTACCGAAAATTTAGGTACAAAACCTCTAAATGTCATTATAGAATCTAGGCAGAATAGAACAATTGTCACAATAACGCAAACCGTAACTACCCTCTCAGACTGACACCATTTGCCTTGTGTGTATGTCATTAATTGTTCGTTTTATTCCCCCTAACTTTTTGTGTAATGTAAATTTCCCATAGGTCACTGGGAGTTATTATACTGATAATGCCTACTCTCACCTTTCATCTGAATAACAATAGATTTAACCATAAACATTGACATGTGCTCTTTTCTTAACAAATATGTTGTGGTGAAATTCAAAATCTGATAATTGGAGTTATCGCATGGTTTGGAACTTTTCCTTTGTTCTTACTAACCCATTATACTCAGTACACTTCAATGAGCATTTGAAAACTGTATTGATATATAACAGTCACAGGAACTTGAAATTCTATCAATATTTATGAAAATATCCAAAATATACCCACTATACAGTATTTATACTGTATAGGGGGTATATTTTGGATATTATAATAAATATTGATAGAATTTCAAGTTCCTGTGATAACAGTACAGTTTTTTCATTGATTCATATAGGAAAAAAACTCGACTGCTATATAACGGCTGAGTTTTTTTCGCACCTTGTATATATCAATGTAACAGAGGCTCCAATGGGGAAGTGGTAACGAACAGTCCCAGTAGCAAAATAAAATGGAATCAATAAAATAAAATGAAATAAATAAATAAATACAATGCAAAATATAAACAAAGATAATTAATGAAATTAAATTTACTCTCATTTAATCAAAAAGGTACATCCGCTGAATGAATTATTTCCACTGAAAAAAGCCCTTTAATCTTGAATCAATATTGGTAACAGTTTACAATCCGCCTCTAACATTGGATGTCACTTATATATCCTTTTTTTTGCGGCAGCAAAAACAACTTGAAAAAACTGCCAAAATTATCATGAATAACTGTAATGTAGCTAACGATTTATTAAAAAAAATATTTATTTATTTATTGATTTATTTTTATTACAAAAAAATGAAAACATTATGCCATTTCGATAAAACAGTTATAGTATATGAAACTCGTTAGTTACCGCTGACGTCGCCCTAGCCGGTGTTATATCCTCGTAACTAACTCGTTTCATGTACTATAACTATTACTTAAACAATTCAGGGATCTATGCATTGTACCATGTGACTAAGAAATTTGTACTGTTACAGGGTAACAGTATTTTTAACAGTATAAAATTTGGTCACATGGCATATTTTCTAAATACAAAAAAATAAAATAAAATCATCACAAAAAATCATCACAGTTACTGTTCGGGATAATATAATAAAGAAAACATGGGTTTGTGAGTAAAAGTAAAAATATCATCCCTTGTAAAAATACTGTTACCCTCGGCTTACGCCTCAGGTAACAGTATTTTCCTCGGGATGATATTTTTACTTTTACCCATCAACCCATGTGTTATTTATATACTGTCATCCACATTGGGATGTGATATTTACATAAATGTGCTTGTTTGTAAAATATAATCGCGAGATATATATTTAAAAACACGGCTGCTGGAAATTTATGATTTTTAGCAATTTGACACAGTCATTGCACAAATAAGAATAGAACTGTTCATGTAAAAAAAAGTATATAAAATTATGACAACCTGTCTCTATTTTCGCTTTCATATCGAAGGCAGATAAGTTCTTGAATGATGTCACATTAAAGTCCAGTCTTTTAAAAAGCTCTTCCGCCATCTGAACGTCTCTTAGACAACCCTTCCTCTCGCCTGAACCTTGACCTTTAAACTCATTTCCGATTATTAGAGCCGTACCTCGGAACTTATGGTCGAACTTATACACAGACATCATAACAATAATATTATAATGGGATTGCTTTCTGGAAAATAAAAAATAAAATAAATAAATAAATGTGAAGGTGTAGAGATTCCATTTGATAAAAGAGAAGTATTTATAGAGAACAATAGACGAAATAACAAGACGTGAAATAAAGTAAGTATTTTAGATTAAAGTTGTATTATACAGTTATTTCATATGTGATTTGGGAACAGTCAATCTATTGGCCTGAGGTGGAGGGGTAGCGTTTTGAACTGTTGCCCAAGGCCGTAGGCCGAGGGCAACAGTTCAAACCACTATCCCCGACAACGTGGGACAACTGTTTGACTGTTCCCAAATCACATATGAAATAACTGTTTTATTACCTGATCAATTAGTGTACTTGCAGAAGGAAAAAAGAACGAGAAAATAGTTTTACACATAATTATATTTATAATTTAACTTAATACTTTAACTATGTTACGCCATATCTGGTTTATGGTCAAGATCGATGGACGCTTCAAGTGGGAATTCTCTATAAGGTCAATGACGTCAGAGCACGCGAGGGAAACAGTCGAAACTATTGACCGGTCAACAGCTCTCGAACGTTGACGTTTTAAGAATTTCAGAAAACAGTTAAAAATACCAAATTACATTTATATAAGGTATCAGGTAATAATACTACTTATAACAGACATGGCTTATGGAAAAAAACATGCACAAAATGGTTTATCGAAGTTTTATAATAATATTTTAAATCACTTGATTTAATTTATACGAATTTATTTTTTTAAATGCGAATTTGTCTTAAGTTCAGTTGTGTTGCAAGCTATATAAGGTTATTTAAACACTCTGAGATAAATAAAATTCCCTAGCACACCGCTAATCAATACTTTTTTATATCCTGGCTATTCTGGGATCAAATTCTGGGAATAATTATGAGGCATTTTGGATAAATTGAGAAGTTTAAAAAAGTATAAAAGGTTAAGCTATTAAGGTGTTTCGATTTTGTTGATTAAAAAAAAAAGTTCAAATCGTATGTATATACATTAATGTAGCCTATGCTTAATGAGGGTCCATTCGCCCGTTTAGGCACAAAAAGCAACTTTCGCTGTCGAGTATACAGACCCCGGACATGTCACCACTCACAAGGTGGTGATAATATACCTCACAGGAGCTTGAAATTCTATCAATAATCGCTCAAAAGTCCGATTTTTTTTAAATCCATACCCCTATCTATGTTTTTTATATATAGGTATGGATTTTTAAAAAAATCGGACTTTTGAGCAATTATTGATAGAATTTCAAGCTCCTGTGATATACCTCCATGCAAGTTCATGAAGGATTATGAATTTTGAGCCAAAAGTGGGACATTACATACGGCGGCCATAGAGAACCTAAACGTACAGTAACCTGAGACAAAAAAAAATGAAACGCTACAAATCAATGCGACTGGGCACCTTTCATATTACAACCGTCCGACGAATGGCTACTTTCACTTTTGGCGAAAGCGAAAGTACAGTGTGTTACCGCGAAAACTGCCAATGTTCTTATTATTTCGATTAAATATAAATAAAGGTATCTCCTTTTAAGCAGGTTTTCTTTTAAGAAAAAAACAAGAAAATAGATATTTATCTGGGATATCAAAAATCGCGAAATGAGGACCCTAAATGGTTAAAGGTCAAGACATTTAGTATTCAAATGATTAAGGTTTATATTTATTAAAAAATACCACTTCGAGTTGGTTTCGTTTTTAATCGAAATAATATTATAAAGTAAATACGAGTCGACGTCATGCATTTCAAGTTATATTTACGATACTAGAGATAATAAATACATGGCCATAGTGGTTGATTTGTTAAATATCTGTGAATCGAAAGTTTAAACAAAAACCCTATTTTATTATATATAAATATATATATATAGATATATGTATATAAGACGTTTACCTGTGAAATTAGATCTACGGTGGATTAAATCTATTAAATTTCCGACCGTCTGTTTGAATTTGATTGTGAACTGACTGTGTATTTTAATTAGATATCAGTACATTATGCTAAAAATACTGTTTATGTAATTCTGATATATGTACTACCCAGGTGTAATCTGAATACACAGCCTGTCATGTTTACACATAAATACACATGATTTATTTTTGTGGTAGTGCTATTGTTACTTCCCCTTGTACACTGCACGAAACAAAAGTACAATTATATTAATTTATTATATAAATTATATTGCACTGCCGCCTAACTGAAAAGAAAATGTACTTAAGTGTTTAAATTATTAAATGTCAATGATAGAGTTAGACAGTTAAGACTCAACCACATTCATAAAGTTTATTACAACAAAAGCCCTTCCTATTTAAAGGAATTGTTTAAGGTTTGTAGAATATCCAATTTAAGATCCAGTAATTTTAATTTTGTTTTACCTCAAAATGATTCTTATGTTAAAAATACATTTTTCTACAATGCCATTAAAGACTGGAATTCTTTACCAGACAACATTAGATCAATTGACAATATCCAAACATTTAAAACGAAAGTAAAACTTTTTTTAAGTAATGAAAATGATAAACAAGTGAATAATATGTTTATTTATTATTAAATTGATGTGTAACTTATGATAAGGTTTTGAAACATGTTTATGTGTACTTGATATGTTTTAGTTTAAAAGAAACTTATTTCATTTTGTTTGTGTACAATGTACTTGTCTTATTATATTGAAAAATGTGTTTTGATTATTGAAAATTGTCATTAAGTTTTAACTTCTTTATAATTCATTTATCATTATGTAAGTTAGTGTAATAATTTTACAGAAAATGGACCCCATTGCGAAATAAGCTTTTAGCTTTAATGGGCAATCCTAGGGTTACATAGAACATACTTTTGATTTAATTCGTATAATTATTTTTGTGCATTTATGTGTGTGTTTTTATTATATTCAAGTTGATATCTGTGATAAAATTGTATGTGTATACATGTATGTCTATTCCCTGAATAAATCGATACCCATATACAGTATATAGATCTTAGTTAACTAAAGTTAATTTATTACTTTATTGCCCTTTTTAGATAAGTAAACTTTTAACCCTATCTAAGTATATGTTAGTGTTCTTCCGTGCTGTTCTACAGAAATTAGAAACTTCGACGGGAACGATACTTATCATAGTGTCAAGCTTTATTTGGCCTCATTAATATTCACATTATTACGTCACTACCAGTTCGCTTTCTAAATAGTGGCTTAAAATTTGACCTTATAAATATGCATGAACTACGTCTATTTTTAGCGCGCATGTTTTTTTTTTTTTAGTTGGGAAATATGGAGGACGGAAAGTTTTCATTGCTCGATATTCGGAAGACATTTTCAAGGGGGTCATACCAAGCGCGCGCATCATCAAAATTCTGATACCGCGAACACTTTTTCCACAGGTATTTTGAACAAAAACAAGTCATGTAAAGCAATCAGAATAGATTTGAATTTAATTTCTTTTGCAAAGAAGATGTCCTTACTTCTAGTTTCAATATTCCAAATGCCTTGACTTTCTCGCCAGTATTTCGCGTTGAATGCAATTTTGATTCTGGATACTGCGTACACCCGGCGTTGAAATGTTACAGAAATTGAGAAATTTTCAATTAAACTGAACGTTTCACACAGCTCGAAGTAATTTTATTGTAGAACCTAGTTCATAAATATATATTTTCAATCTTTGTAATTTTTCCTTTGTACGAAAAATGCCTTAAAACGAACTTTTTACCGGAAATAGACATTATGATACTGCATAAACTCTCAAAAAGTCACGATACTGCGTACACATTTAAATATGTTATTGCTCAATTCATAATGGGATCAAATGGATAACACTGGCGAAGAAAAAATAAAATAATAAAAAGATAATTGAAATAAAAAATAAGATTCAAATCCTGTGATAAAGTATGCTCGCCTCAGTGTTTCTAATATTAACGTTCTTTAAAGGCAAACGCAGCATGGGTATGTGATAAACAGAGAATAAATTGAATGAGTGCAACAAATGAAAATGAGTTTTATAAGCCAAAAATCTACAACCTAATTGTGGCGAAATCGGAGATACAATTTCTATTTGCACGAGAAACTCCGCCTTTGGGCCATCCGTACAACAAACTTATTTGTTATTCCACACTACATGTATATTACCATACAAATTCAATCGTTTTTTATGAGATGATTACTTTTTTGTAAACGACAGGGCTAATGTTGAAACTAAAACGGTAAAAGTTTGTTTGCACAAGAAACTATTTGCTGTGTTCATTTGCATGCTAAAATTCGAATTTTTAATGAGATTTACAATACTGTTGAAAATGTTAACAAAACTATAGAATGCTTGGTTTGTAAGCCGACGGAAAAATATGTTTACATATTTTATTTAATGTAGCTTTAACGTCTCAAAATTAAATGATTATAATTCGAAATTCGAAATATAATCAGTTAATATCCTATTAAAAAACTACAACAACAACATTTTACTTTGTAAATAAAAAGCCTCCGACCTTTTATATATACACAATACAATCAAAACACATATGCATATTTAGCTGAATCTACAATACACGTTGTTATCTACGACATGTTTTCCTATTTATTATATTAGTTATCAACAATGTTCATAATTTCATGAACAAAAAAGCAATATTATTTATATCTTTCTTCATTTTGAGTTTTAATCAAATAACAAAAACTATGAAATGTATAATCATGACTGTACCATGGAGATCTATAACGTTGTCTTTGTTGGGAAAATCTGTTACAAATAAAAAATACATGAAATTCATCTTCGATAAAAGTTTACAAGTTTACAAGTTTATTTCATACTCAGTTCATGAATAACATGACAATATGAGCTATAACATATTTACATAATAAACTATAGAGGCATATATGACATGCATAGACATATCTCGTATTTTCATACGAGGGAGAGACATTTTGTATTCCATATGTTTAAATTAAATACCAATAATGTTACAAATATATATGCTTTGCCAAAGAGATCAGTCATATACTCAAATAACATGATCTTAAACTTCCGTTACTTAAATATTAGTTGAAAAAATGTTTAATATGCGACAGATCTGAATAGCAAAGCACACATCTTTGTAATAATTCTAAGACGAATTGAATTGTTATAATTTTGCAAACAGTGTCGGCAAATTCGCTCACATCTTGGTCTACCTAAATGCCGTCCAGTTTCTATAAAGAACATCTAAATCTCGATAATGATTTTTTACATAAAATTGCATATCATTAGATAAACATTTTTCAAGATTTAACATAGTTTTGAAAATTTATAGGTGTTACATCGGGTTGAATTCTGAATTTCTTCCATCAAATTATGTGTTATACAATCAATAATCCTTTGTTAAATAGATTGATAACCCCTATTTCTTGACTAAGCCATACAAAAACCAATAAGTATACAATAAGTTCCTTGGTGAAATAGCCCAATTTTTCTTTCCAACATTGTCTTGTCTAGTAAACATCAAATAACAATTTCTAGGATATCTATGTTTTGACATAGATATGAAATAATTTAAAATAATCAGTGTAAGAACTTTCCAAAACTTCATTAATATGATTTAATAGCATAAATAGATTTCCTAGCTTGTGCAGCAAGTTTAGTTTTTGCTTTTGTCCAAGATGAGTTAGGTGTAAATAAAAGACCCATATATTTGTACATTGTGGTGACATTAACCGAACTGCCGTTGTAGAACCATTTTTCTGTCCCCCAATTTCTAAATATAATAATTTCAGTTTTATTCTCATTTATGGACATACCGGTATTATTACAAAATTCTGAAAATGAATTTAACTGATATTGAAATTCGATCGCAGTATCGGCGCAATTTGCAACATCATGAGCGAAGAGAATGCATTTATTTTATGCTTTTCAGTGGATTACTGATTTATCCGTGAAAATTATATTTGATAATTTCACAGTGAAAATTATCAAAATATAATTTCACTTTTTTCAATGACGAAACTACTTTTTTAAGATTTTCCCCATGTGGTACCTCAATTTTATTTTTACTGACAATTCTGACAATATCAGGCTGTTAAAAAAAATAGCAAAGCTGAAATAGATAAATAACTTAAATGTCAAAAGTAATAAAGAGAGAAAACTTACTTCTATTCCTTCAAATTCCAATCACAAAATTTCGTCTCTAAATTTTTTTGTTTCGTTTTGACAGTCTGAAAAATACATTCCTTCCCCATGCTAAACTGCTCTTGATGACATTTGGGTATATTAAAGTATCCTACCAGCAATAACTGCCGTATGCTTTATGAAAAATTGAAAAGCATTGACAGCCATCACTCGTAAAATAAGTAAAACAACCCAGCGTTTCTTACAATGCCTTAGCAAGCTTCCAAGTTTTCCATTTTGCTAGCTCCTTTTCTGAATGTTTTCACTTCTGTCAACACTTATTTTTTGTCTGTTACAATCCTCAAATAAGATTTCTTTCTTTTAAAAAGGTGTATGACTAACAAATCCAAATTATATCCTTCTGAATCTTACACAATTATTTTCCTCCCATGAAATACACAACTTTAAAAAATGGCTGCCGCTTACATTTTACAAAGCCAGGTCTAATATAAATTCGCAGTAAGTAACAGAAATATGGATGGATGGTTGGACTTTTTCTCCTACAAGAATTGTTTGTTTTTATTATTAAAACAAGCGATCATTTATATTTTTTTAATAAAATGAATAAATATCACCGTCATTTAACCTTGATTGGCGGACTTATTTTTAAGCTCAAGACTTCTTGTTTTTAATGAGAAATTCCCTCTAAATGGGACTCTCAATGGGGGAAACAGATTTTAATATTAACCTTAAAATTATGGAAATTTCGTTTTAACTTGTTTTAAAGCATAAAATAAAAAGAAAATTTGTCTGTTTGTTGTGTAAGATGTAATTTTATTTCATCTCGTGAACTTTAAAAACAGTATTCTCACTCGTGGCTACGCCACTCGTGAGAATACTGTTTTTAAAGCCCACTCGATGAAATAAAATTTCATCTTACACACAAACAAACAAATATCCTCTATATAATATCGGGAATTCGGTCCGTAATGAATATACTGCGACATAAAGGGAGG